AAAAATATTTCGAATGCTTCATTTGAAGCGTTACTGGAGCGGTGCAAATGCTATTTTTATTGGTAAGTATGCTACCAATGGAGACTCAGATGTTTGAATCGAATACATAATCAACTGTCACAATGGTGGCACAAACCACCAGAACATAACCAACCTCAATTTTTCTTCTCCGATGTTCGTGAGGGTGGTGGTGTGTTGTTGTTGAAATAAAAGTGCATTGTCACTTTGCCACTTTTGTGGATATTTCCAACGACAATGATATTCACATGAAAAATCTATATCCAATGCAGTAGATTTCATTGTACAATGTCTGTCTATTTAAATCCCCAAACTGAAATTGTCAAACGTTCATCCGTGCTCTTCAAATCCGATTTTAATTGAACCGCTATCTAGATGATCAATATTCTGCTTTTATTTATGAGCTAGTACGAAGTTATTAAGGATCCCTGTAATTAAGATCTCATCATCTGAAGCAATTTACGAAGCCGCAATTACTTTTCCCCAACCTTATAAAAAAATTCAGCGGTTAGTTGTAGCCAGCAGTTTCTAGGAGGGAGTTATTTTTGTTAGGTCATTCCAAATAGGTGGCGCCATAGCCGAATGGTTGTGATGCTCGTCGTTTTGTGTGTGGAGCCGATCTCCACCCTACAAACCTCTCCTACAGCTTAAGACAACGCTTTGCAGAACGGCACAGCCAAGCTGTCCTCGATATTGTGAGAAGACTCGCTTAACCAATAATTTTCGACGCTTAGGAATAGGACGAAAAAAGGGATTGAATGCTTGAAGTACGGGGATCCGCACAGTGAAGAAAAAACGCTGTGAAGGAGGATCAATAAAGTGTCTAAAGTGTGTTGAAAGGTCGTTTCACAAGTTTTGCCTTTAAAGCAATGAACAGCATATCTATCAATAAGAAGTAAGTAAAATTCCGTGATTTTGGTATCATTCATTTGCGCATTTTCTTGCGATCATTTTGCTACAGAACTTGCCTATATTTGCTTCAAGACGGGGCTGCCTTGGGAACAAATTCGCTTGCTACTCATGCACGAATGGCTCGGACAAAATACTAGTGAAGCGGTGCTTAATATTAATTCAATTTGGGACGATGATGCGATTGCTGAAACGACGACTAGGAAGTGATTCGGGAAGTTCAAAGCTGGAGAATTCAGTCTGTAAGGTCAGCCATGCTCGGTCCGTCCACAGGAAGCTCCATTAAGCTTGCGTACCGCTTCACCAGCATTTTCCTCTACACGCCATTTGTGCATGAGTAGCAAATAGAGGTCCTCCACACGACAGCTTCATCATAGAGCTATAGACAAGTTCCTTTCCCAAATGGTCGCATGTTAGTGCGCTATTGAGTGAGACCAAAATCATACAGTTCTAATTACTTGTGGTTAGTAAATGTGTTTATTGCTCTAGTGACAAAACTTATTGAACGGCCTATTTATAACATTCGTTTCGAGTGTTTTCTTGAGACTACAGCTCAAATTTCAATATGTCTTGAAACCATTTTTGAGCCACGCATGTCAGTGGTCTGTCAAACAGGGCTGACTTATAGAGCCCGATACACGTGGAGCCTTAGAGCCCATATTTAGCTTTGGCAAAAGGCGAGAAAGGGTAACTGCCCGACTGACGAGATCGCAAGATCGAAGCTCGTGTACCGGACTCTATAAGTGAGCCCTCATTGACAGACCACTGACATGCGTGGCTCAATAATGATTGCAAGGCCTATTTATAATCGAATAATTCCTGGACTTTGTGGAATTTCTGATTTTGTGATTTTGAGCCTAATATAGAGTTTTCGTGTTCTAGAAGTTATTAGAAATCTGCTGCATCAAAGATGAAATGATGTGTATTCGACGGTTCGCTTGAAATCCCTGTTCTGTCATGAAGATCTAATACAAATGATTTCTTGCAAGTTCCAGCACCCCATCCATTCGGTTTTTTCCCTCCCCTCCATCCGTCCCCCAAAGGTGCCCGAACATTTCATGTGTTGATTCAACTGCTGCTCAAGAACTTCATCTTCTTTATGAATCTCCATGACATCCTGGTCGATACGATTCTCCTTGCAGTTTCGCAACCAGCCGAGCTAAGACGTTCCTGCGTGTACACTTGATTGATTGCAGGAGTGATGGGAAACGGGTTTCAACCACTGCCTTTTTTATCACTTTACTTCCTGATATACCTGAACTAGTAACCACTGCGCTTCTCCGCCCCTACATGTTTGTGTAGTCGATGATTTTCCATAATATCAGTAAGGATTTCGTGGGATTTCTCTTACGGTTTTTAGCATAATGCTGAGATGTCTCGTTCTAAAAGTTACCACCTTACAATACTCAGGATCCATTGCGCATAGGAATTCTTGATGTTTTCGATGATTTGTTTAAGTGCAAAACTTTGACGTCAGGCGGCACTCGAACCCGTATATCCATCCTGTCTAAGGAATGTGCTTAACCAAATGCACTACCGAGACCTGTTTCGCCACCACTCTTTCGACGCTGCAACGCATCAATCTGGCAGCGACCAACCGTTAACGTGTTAAGCACGCGCTCCCGGAAAAGGTGAATTGCGGGTTCGAGTCCCAGTTGACGTCAACGTTTTGCAATCACTGAACATCATTGTGTATAACTGTTGCATCATACTACCACTGAAAAGCGGTTAATCAAAATGAGGTCTTGTCGATCTAATCACTATTATTATTATTATTTGATATCTAAGATTTAAGCGAAACAGAGTTCAAGATTGAGCTGAGAACATTTGGTTATGTGCCTTTTGCAGGTGTGATGGTCATCCTCTTTAATCTGACACCAGCTCTTCGATTCAAAGTTCGTGTCATATTTATCTGCGTTTGCTGGTATGCTGTAAGTTCGGCTAGCAGTATCACGAATAAAGTTGTACTTCAGGTGATAACCTTTTGATTTTTGTTATTACACATTTGCTTTTTACTTGCTGTAATCAGATTTCTAAAATGATATGCGACGCATTCGACTTCGGGCGGGAGTTGAACCAGCGTTTCTTCATCGCCATGGGCGAGTGCTAGCACTGCGCTACCTGAGCCATCTCTTTGCTATCACTGCTTTCGATTAATGGGCTTTGATGCCGATTTATGCTTATTAGACCAAACCAACTGATCGACCAGTTCCTGGCAGCTTTGATATTATATAGCGCAGAGCGCTAGCTAAGCGGTCGGCATAGTCGTACTGTGGCAACACGCTCTCCCAGTATGGGCGTAGTGCGGGTTCAACTCTTGCTTAAGGCCGAAGTTTTGCATATCTCTCAGCATCCTTGGATAAATAAAAAAAAAGGATAAAGCTCTCGGCGTTGATCAATCCCTGAGGGATGCGCCATGCATTCGGCTTCAATTTTTAACTTCGTTTTGAGGTGATTATATGCATATCTGGCCTTTACATTGACTCGCGGAGGCCTCTCGCTGAACCGAGTCAGTGCTGCTTATCTTCCCAGACAAGTCTGAGACCTGTCTGGTACCAGTTTACCGACCCCGGAGGGATGGATGGCTTGGTGAGCCATGAGCGCGAGATCGAACCATTGACCTCGCATTCGACGCAGAGCCCCTCTAACCACTGCCCCACATACGCTCTTCTTAGACTTTACACATATATTCAATATCATACCACTGCTAAAAAGCACTAAGAATATAGAATACATTAAGATTTTCTATAATAAATCGCAATGTCAAGGAAATCGTGGAGAGAATGAGATCATATGACGAACGAGGATAGGGCAAGAATCGTGCAGATCATGAAGTTAGGCCGAATCGATTTTCTCCGGATATCAGAAAGGAGAAGAGCGCCTCGATCCACAGAATCCCAGCGGACCATAGGTCCCTAAAACCCGACGCTCACTAGGCCTTTATCGTTGATGTCGTCTTTTACACTGTCTTCTCCGTAATTACACAAAAACCAATAATACAGTATGGGTTTTAAACTTCTAATTGAAGATTTGCCGAGTCTTTTTTGACTTTCAAAATTTGACATCCCATGTCCTTCCCCTAGATCTGTCGGATTAATCAGAGCTCTCTCGTATTGATATGGTTGAATTAGCACCTGTGGCGCAGTGGCATAGGTGCTGTGCGTCCGCCGCACAGGTGGTCCATGGTTCGATCCCGCGCCCAAGCCCATCGAGCCTCTGCTCTCGGAGTCGGTGAATCAAGTAAAGCTAAAATCTACGATAGACGCATGGGCGTCTCCGTAGATTGACCCTTTCCAAAGCTTTATCCCTTCATTCTTCGTAATCATCGTGATATCGTCGTTCGAGCTGATAGCACTAAGTAGATAGAAGTTAACATAGTGGTCCGCCAAGATCTCATAATGTTTCATGGAATGTTGATTCGGCAGTTCGTCTTCTTTATGAATATCGTGGAATGCTGGCCGAGACGAATCACCGTGCCGTCGTGTTCAGGGGGGGGGGGGACCGAACCAGAGCCTTGCTCATCACTTTTGCTTCTTGACACACCGCATCGCTAGCCACTGCGCTTCTCTTCCTTCGGGTACGATCACCACTTTACAAATATGAAAGCTGCCTTTGAATCGACTGCCTCTAAAAACCTTGTTCTAGAACTGCGATAAATTTTAAAAGACCTTTTTGAGCCTTTCGAGGTTTGGTATCTCAGTGGCTCACATACGCTTCGGCAGTCTCCTTCGCTTCATCAGAACCACACGCCCCAGGGTTAAGACAACGCTCACGGTGTCTAGACATGTTTCCCCGTTCTCTCTCATCGGTTGGAGTGATTGTTGGAGCGTGTGGCTCTAATGAGGCGGGCGAGACCACCGAAGCTCACTAAGCCACTGACTTAGCGTACGTCGATGTAGCCTAACTCTTTCGGAACCATGGACCCAGCCTTCTGCGTCTGTAGCCTCAGCGTGTCGAGTCTGGCAGTGGTGTCTAGTCTCCAATGTGTTACGTCTGACAATGACACTTTGGGATTAGACACCATTGTTAGACGCAACACGCCAAGGGTTCGAGACGCAGAGGGTTGGGTCCGTGGTCCCCAAAGGGTATGAGAGTCAGGCAGCAGTTGAACCCGTATTTCATCCATGCCGGGGACGCGTGCTACCACTACACCACAGAGGCCACCGCTTACTCACTACTCATTCTTCAGTATCTTCTAACATAGTTATCAGCCACCAACCATTAACAGGTTTGGTCGGGTAGGCAATACCGCTCTATAAACCCAGTTAAGCTGAGAGCCGTTGTATTTATATGATTTCTAAATTTCTTTTTTACGCTGCTCTTTTTCGCAGTGTTATGATGTTTCAAATATTCCTAAGAGAGTCGAGTGGTAAGCATGAAGTATAGTGGTAGCACACGTCCCGGTATGGATGAAGTGCGGGTTCAACTCCCCTATGAGGTCGAATCTTTGCTTACCACTCAATTCTCTTAGGAATACTTGAAACGTCATAACACTGCGAAAAAAACAGTAAAAACATAAGAAATCTCGGAGGTAAAATTAAAGATTTTCGAAGATTTCACTTGCTGTGTTGCTTTCAGAGTTATCCGTATCCGATAACGTTGGCACTGTCGAACCTCATGTGGGTCCCTGTGTTCTCCATACCGTTTCTACGAATGTGGGAATATAAAATAGTAAAACTGACGTCTATGCAATATAGTAAATACCTTACTCCAATATCTGCTGGTGAGTTTTTTGTTGTACCAATGGTTTTGATCTCATTGTCTTTAGATTTTCTGCTATTGACAGACATGTTTACTGAAATTTTGAAAGACTAAGGAGTAAAGCAAACAAGATAAACCTCTCAAAGTCGGTTTATCCCTGAGGGATGTGCCATCCATTCATCTTTGATTCATAGCATCGCTTGAGGTGATTCGATCAATGCATATCTGGCCTTCAAAATGACAGGCGGTGGCCTATTGGGTATGAAGTCAGTGCTGCTATCCTCACAGACAAGTCTGATATCAGATCACCGATCACGGAAGGATAGAAAGCTTAGTGAGCCTTGAGCGCGGGGTTAACCATCGACCATCAAATGGTCGATCATCATGTGAGCCACGGAGCATCTCTAATCATTGCGCCACGAGCGCTTTAGTTGGGAATGAGGTAGACCAGAAGTGGTAGTAAGGTTCATGAAGGATAGATTGTTTGGCGTTGATCAATTGCTGTGGAGAGCGCCGTGTATCCTGCTCCATTCGTAGCGTCGTAGAGGTGATGGGGCGGATAATTTGGTCTCTACAATGATTTCAGGTTTCTTATCAACCTATCAGGCCACTCTTCTTGGCCTACCAGTAATTTTGCAAATGAGAGATAGATGAATGACTAGATGTGTCAAGGAGCTGTGTTGAACGGAAGCTGATCTATCTGTGTGTTGCAGGATACCTTTAATCACTGCGCTACACTGGTTCCTTCAAGAAATCATGAGAAAAAGGCGGATTTTCTATCAGTCTTGGGAATGATTAATCCCTAGACTATATTATGGACTGACCTTTTCGGAGATACGTCGATGTTAACACGTACTTCGATGATCGATCACTAATTTTTCGACGATATCGTTCTTCTCCAAAGTAATTTTTGACGAGTGAGATCACCTGTAGAGTGTTCCTGTCATGAGAATGAGCTGTCATCATAGGAAAGCAAAAAGTACCACGCTTCAAGAGAATGTCCTCTATGTTGTTGATTTCGGCGATTGTGGTAGAGGTTTCCTACTGGCGAGCCATTTTCATCGAGATCTTGCTCAGCTCGGCTAATGTTGTTCTGTGATGGATACTGTTCTTCGCTGTTCGAAATGTGTAGAAAATTCCTTCTTTCTCTATTCTATCAGTTGGATAATGAATTGTCTGATGACCAAACGTCTATAACCATATATCCATAATGTTGAGTGACACGCTAAATCGGGTCCGCCTGTGGCGAGTGGTTGTGATGCTCGTCGAGGCGCGCATGGGGCTAACTACCCTCCCCAGCACTCTCCAGCAATCAGTAACGAACGCCAAGTGGAACGCCACAGCCAGGCTGTATCCTCGAGATTGCAAGGGACTCGCTCAACCAGTATTCTACGACGTTCAAGAAGAAGACGAAAAACGATTTGAATGCTAGAAGTACTGGGATCCGCGCAGTGAAAAAGAAACACTGTGAAGACGGGTCAATAAAGTAAAATAAAGTGTGATGTGCTCATCCTTTGAACCTCGGGCGGAGTTGTACCCTTATCTCACCCCTACCGGCCGGGGAAGCGTGCCAACCAGTACACTTTCGGGCTCCTGTTTTGCTATCACTCTCTGTGTGATGCAAGGTACTCGGTTCTGTCAACGTCTATGAGTTCGTTTACTAGAAAGTTGAGTACTTAATCATCAGTATGTGGTATTTCCCTAAATTGTGCTGAGGACAACGCAGACTCAAAGTGAAAAGACTGGAACTACTACTTACATTTTTCATTGTGAATGAAGAAGAAGATTTCACAAATTCAGGAAAGGCAATAGCAGCTGTGAGCGCTTATTTTAGTCTATGGAAGGTACCTGTATCCTACGTACATACCGGTGAGCGGGATTGTTCAATTCCTCTTGTCTTTCTTATTTTGTTTTGTGGTCTGGGCCATAACAATATGGCCAATTATTGGTCTGTCGCTTCTTACGTGCGTTCTTTTTGACACATAAGCCATTTACTTCACATTTTTTTTTATTTACACGACCGGTCATCGCAATTTGCTGTTGCGCGGATCCCAGTACTTCTAGCATTTGATTCTTTTTTCGTCTTCTTCTTGAAAGACATAGATTACTGGTCAAGCATGTTTCCTTGAAATCTCTAGAATAGCTTGGCAGTGGGCGTTCCATAGAGCGTTCTTGTTGACTACCGACGAGTGTGTTGTGTGTATGGGGGGATGGAGCTCAATCCCGCGCGCGCCGCAACGAGCGTCACAATCAGTCGGCCACGGCGCCCCCTTTATTTTACTTTATATAATATTCAGATTTGTTCAATTTGCGCTGTTTACATTACGCAAAACATAAGTGAAGGATTCTTCTATCTAACCGCTTTAGTAGCAGGTTTTTGATGCTGAAACTATAGTTCAACCTTATTGAGTGATATCAAAACTTGATTCTCGAGCGGTAGTGGAACTCTCGCCTTGCTTTTTGTGGGAGACCTGTCCTGACCTATGCACTACTAAGCTACTGATCTGCTATAACTTTTTGGTTTTTTCGTTTCCGCGGCAAATGAAGAGACAATCCTTTCGCCGTATTAAAACTTTCTGCTGCATTTTTAGAAATCATTCGAAGGATTGAATATGTGGCTACTTCGCCATTTTTTTTTTTTGTAAAAAGCCTTTTTATAACGTTGTAGCAGAAAGAGAACATTTGTGTTCCACACGAACGTTTTTGTCGCAGTACAGAGCTCTTTCTTCTGAATATCAGAAACCATTCGATAGTGTAAGTTTCATGATTTCAATGCTATGCTTAATCTCTGGAAAGACCGTTTCACCACAGTGCGGAGAAAATAAGATTGATTCACGTACGCAAGTTTCTGTTTTTCGGCTGATCTGCGGACTGAGGGAGAGGACAGGGTGGAGGAGGGCACTGCCCGTGATTGTAACGCGGCGATCGATCGGGGCGCTGAGGCGGTTCACATGTGAAGTGCTATTTTTGTTATTCAATTAGGCATTTTTTTATCCGCTGCGAAGAAGACTTCAGTAAAAGGTATAACTCTAATAATACAAAATTTCCTCTACACGTTCGCATGCTTTTCGTGCTTCCAGCGGAATAATACTTGGAGTATTCGGCCGGTGTATAACATAATTTTACTTTGTATGCCACAGCGTTATAAATGGGCCTTTTTCCAAAAAGGATCACCTGGCGCAGAAGCCAAAGATTTGAGATTCTGAATGATTACTAACAATCTTATGGAAAAATCTTGTCCAACGAAAGAGGTCGTTTTTTTTATTTGCTCCCAGATTGCTGAAAAGAACCACTCTTTCTGCGCTACAAGATATCGGATCTGTAAGAAACCTCCGAAAAGAGTGAGACTCGGGTTCAACTCCCACTCGAGTTTCAGTATTTTGGATATCACTCGACATTCTAGGATAATATAACATATACACTACCAGAAGCTTGAATAAAAAAGTTTTCGTCGGTTACATATATGCATCAGCTGCCAGTTTGAATGGGTTCAATGCTGATATAAGTTTATCAGGCCAAACCGTTGCCAGTTGGTTGCTAACAGATCTATACCATGTATCACAGAAGGAGTGATAGCAGAACAGGAACTCCGGTAGTGCAATAGATTAGCCCGCACACCAGAAACGGTGAGAACAGCTTCGATTCTCTCCGAGTTTCAATGTTTTGCATGCCAGTCAACATTCTTGAGTATCTGTAATCATTTGGTCGGTGAACTTCGGGCAAATCTCGTTGAGTAATATCTACAGCAGTCAGATTTGGTTAAGTTTAGGAGTAAAATGCTAAGTTTTAGGAATTTCTTAGTGGTGAGAATAGCAACTACAATGTGATCTCAGCTATTGGCCCACAAGGTGCTGGCAAATCGACGATTTTGAGTATGATTGGTGGAAATAATTCTCAGGATATGTATAGTGTATGGAATTTGTCCTTTATTCTCGACTAATTTTGGCTCACCATTTGATTAAAGGCAGTACATCTTTCGGCCAGCGTCACGTGAAGCTCTGGAGAGCTCTCGACATCAAACCACGAAAATCCACCCTTACATCACGAAGTTCAAGGAAATTTTTCTCGACTGTCAAGTAATAATTCAATTCGAATCTCCTTGTGGAGTGATTTGGTCTTTGAATTTTTTGGACTCCTCTCTAATTCCAGGCTTCTAATTGTGCGTCTGTACTCGATGAAGCAATAAGGTACAGTCGGTCAACACTTACTGATGGACGTTATGCCATTAATAACTAGTGGAGGTAAGACGTTCCATTTCAGAGAGGGTTCTGTTTTCAAAAATTTTTGAGAATATTTTAGATGAAACTGGTTCTCCATAGATGACAGAAGATAACTTTTCTCGTTGATCGATTACTGAGAGAAACGCTATGCATTCATCTTCATAAAGCATCATGAGAAGTAATTCAATGCATACTCGGCCTTTACAATGACTCCTGGTGCCTACCGATGTATCAAGTCAC